TTATTGTTGTCATGCTGGGTTTAAACCCTCCAGCCCCAGCGCATGCAGCCAGTGCCCTAACCACTGAGCAACCAGCGCTGAGCCACAGGGTCTTTCTTAGAGCAAAAGTTTTTTGTTTGGTTGGTTTGGGGTTGGTTTTTCATCTTTTAATATAAGTAGAGAGTTTATTTGGACCAAGTTTGAGGATTATAACCTGGGAGCTTAGATGTAAGTTACCCTGAATACATATTCCCCTGAGCAAAAGTTTTTAATTTTGGTGAGGTTACATTTTCCTTTGCCAAATTGTGCTTTGAATATCAGTTCTAAGAACTCTTTGCATATCCCTCAATCTTGAAGATTTTCTCTTGTGCTTTTTCTAGTCATTTTATAATTTTACATTTTACATTTTAATCTGTGGTCCATTTTGAGTTAAATTTTGTGTAAGGTAGGAGACTAATGTTGAGATTTATTTTCTATTTTTATTTCTCTAGCACCATTTGTTGAAAAGGTTATATTTCCTCTACTTAATTACTTTTTTATTTTTGCGAAAAATATCCTGGGCATATTTGATGGGAATATGTTCACTTTTTTTTTTGAGACAGAGTCTTACTATGTCACCCTTGGTAGAGTACTGTGGTGTCACAGCTCACAGCAACCTCCAACTCCTGGGCTTAAGTTATTCTCTTGCCTCAGCCTCCCAAGTAGCTGGGACTACAGGCACCCACCACAACGCCTGGCTATTTTTTTGGTGCAGTTGTTTTAGCTGTCCGGGCTGGATTTGAACCTGCCACTCTCCATGTATGTGGCTGGCACTGTAAACCACTGTGCTACGGGCACTGAGCCTATATTCACTTTTAATAAGGCAAAAATATATTTGATTGTGGTAGGCAGAATAATGAGCCTCCAGAGATGTCTATGTCCTAATCCCTAGGACCTATGGATATGTTAGGTTACATGGCAAAGGGGTACTAAGGTTGCTAATCAGCTGACTTTAAAATAGGGACATTATCCTGGAGTATATGGGTGGGCCCAGTGTAATCACAGGGTCCTTAAAAATGGAAAAGTGGAGCAGAAGAGAAGGGACAGAGAATGAGATGTGATGACAGAAACAAGATCGGATTAAAGAGATGCATTGTTGCTAGCTCTGAAGATGGCCAAGATCCAGGAAGTATGAGTATTCTCTAGAACAGTGGTTCTCAAACTTCCTAATGCTGCAGCCCTTTAATACAGTTCCTGTGGGTTGCAACCCACAGGTTGAGAACTGCTGCTCTAGAAGAAGCTGTAATAGTCAAGGAAGTAGATTCTCCCCTAGAGCCTCCAGAGAGGAACCCAGCCTTGTTGACATGTTGATTTTAGCTCAGCAAGACCTGTGTCAGTTGTCTGACCTTCTAAACCATAAAATAATAAATTTATCTGGGAAGTTTATATATATGGAACATCTCTATGGTATCAGACAAATGCATTTCTATTTTAGGTAGATTTGTGCATTCAATGGGAAATAGAAAATATACATGTAGGCAGGGTACTGTGGCTCATACCTGTAATCCTAGCACTCTTGGAGGCCAAGGCAAGAGGATCCCTTGAGCTCTGCCCTGCCTCTCTCCCTGGGAAAAGTCATTGAGACACAACTCTTGTGCAGGTGATGGGGACAGTGGTGAACTTCTCTGAGTCTCCTAGGTTTGCCTTTCTTGGTATAGAAGTCCCACCCCATAAGCTGAGGCTAGGGCAATCAAGGCCTCAATATTCTTGGTAGTACCAAGCTCCAGGCATAGCCACCATCGCATTAAGTAGGGGCTGGGTGGAAGAAGGGAGGAACTCTTACCTCTTAGCCACGCTCACCTAGAATTTAGCCTCAGCAGCAGGTAGCTGGGGTCAGGATGAGAGTTGCTAATGTCTAGCTCTTGCTGGAAAGACTTAGTTATACCAGTCTGGCATAAGAACTATGTTGAGAGGGGAGACAAAGGGAGTGGGTGTAGGTCTAAATACCACAGACGCTCACTGTACTTACTATATTTTAGTAGATTTTCTTGAGTCATTTGTTATATACCCTTAGAGACTTTAAATGGTGAGCTGTTTTTTAATTGAAATAACTTTTTATCATTTTCACTGAGGAGTAAATCTTTTTTTTTTTTTTTTTTTGAGACGGAGCCTCAAGCTATCCCCCTGGGTAGAGTGGCCATGGCATCACAGCTCACAGCAACCTCCAACTCCTGGGCTCAAGCGAGTCTCCTGCCTCAGCCTCCCAAGTAGCTGGGACCACAGGCGCCCACCACAGCACCCGGCTATTTTTTGGTTGCAGCTGTCATTGTTGTTTTGGCCGGCCCAGGCTGGATTCGAACCCACCACCTTAGGTGTATGTGGTTGGCGCCTTAGCCCCGTGAGCCACAGGCGCTGAGCTGAGAGGAGTAGATCTATGGAGATCTTGACACTATCATGCCAAAAGTGGAACTCCGTAAGCTTTTCATCATGCAATTTTGTTATTATTCATAATTGCTCAGACTGGCCTCATACTTGGATTTCTACTTCCTTAGTACATTGCAAGTGGCTTGAAGGCAGTAGCCATAACGTTTATTCTTTATGGAATCATGATAGCCCCCAATAGCATCTTTGTATGTTGTATCACATAAAAGAATGTCGGTCATTTGACTATGGCAGTCTTTTCTAGTTTACATTTTCAGTACCTCCTTTGTGACTTGAAATGTTTAACTGTGTCTTCCTTTCTTTTCTTGCACTCTGATGTATCATGTGTTCCTAGAAGGGTGATGCCTCTTTTTTAATCTGTCATTGGTGACACTCAGTGAATGACACTTGAGCCATTAGAAATTTTAGTCTAAAGCCTTACTCACTTTCACAATATAGAAACTTTCTACAACATTTCTTGGCAGTATATATATAGTTATGATTTTAGATTAGACTACGTGTTTGAGATTTGGGGACAGGAAAGGAGAGAAAGGGCAGGCAGAAAAACAATGGGTCCATGCCTTAAAGGTGAGACATACCTCACTTCTTTTCTCCGCCAGCCATGTCTCATTCCTTTCAACCTTGGTCCTTGATGGTGCTGCCCTCATGATTTATGTTTTCTCCTTTCCTGTTCCTCCCTTATTGAGGATCCCTAGCTGGTGATGCCCCCCATGGCTCCCTCTCTTTGTTTTGGTGGACAGTGGACATGTAGCCACACCTGAGGCTTGAGTCAGTATTGTACCATTCATCGTCTGGCTTGGGCTTCCTCCTAAGGCTTGCCTAATCTTTGAGAAACTTTGTATTGAAGGATTTGGTAGTATTCTTCCATTACTGTAAGTCATTTGAGAATATTCTTGACAAATAATTTGACTTGAATGATTTCCCTGCTTCTACTTCTGGGATCTGTGGGACAGTGTTGACTGCCTTCTGGGATGGGTGTGTGTTAACTGTTTTATTCAGTGTTGTTCTATTTCCCAGGATGCTCCAGGATGAAACGCCATAGGCATCTCAGCAGCAGTGGCAGTTCAGATGAGTGTGAGTAGAACCAGCTGGCAGCTGGTAACCTTTGTATCTATACCCCTTGAAGATTTCTGCTTCGACTTGAGGATAAGCCATTTCATGCTTCCTTCAATGGTTAAAAAAATAATACTCTGGGAAGGAAAGCTTGGGATATCATTTTTCTTACTCATTTAAATTTTATTAGAGATAAATTAGGTGGAATAATTGGTTTTGTGGGGGCATATACCATTTTTGTTTCTCGTTTTTCATTTACCTAAACAACAAATCTAGTAAAAAGAAAAAATAAAAGCCAAATCTAGTAATGCTTTAACAGACCTTCTCTAGAAAGGAAAAAAAGTATGAGAGCATAAGTTGTGGGCTCTGATTCTCATTGCAGCTCAAATACTAAATGTTTGACCATGGGTCAATTTATCATTTGTAAAAGTCAATAATCTTATTAATAGTAGCCTTGGAGAAGTGCTGAAGCATACACAGCTCTATGTTTTTAGTTTTCTAGTTGTTTTTGCAGGTATTTTTTCTCCAGATGAAAGATGAATTGTGTTATTCCAAAATACTATGAGGCATAATTATACCAAATTGGGTCTTCTTAGCCTTAGCACTGTGGAACCTTTTGTACTCTGGGAGATAACCTGTAAATGTTATTAAACTCCATTATGGCTTGACGCCTGTGGCTCGGG